AGAAATGGCACTGGTACTCAATGGTACCAAATGAGGTCTTTGCTGACCTCCTAGCCTATTGTTCTTTCTCACAAAACCTAGCTACTTTTCCTTCATGGGATTTCTCATCATTTATAATGGACATTTTTGTGGTTATCTGTTTAATATCTGTCTCCCTTACCTCTAGACTCGACTCTGTTTTATTTGCTGTATATGCCCAGAAACAAAGATGAGAGGGAAGCAGGGGAAAGGGTTCCACTGTTTTCCCCAATTCAGTTCCGCTCACCCTCTCATTAGAAAAATTCCTCCCAGATACTAAGAAAAGCTTGCCAATGGTAGCTTTTGAAAAGGGGCACTTGGCCCAACCTCATAAAGGAGGGCTTTGTAGAGGAAGTGATGTGAATCAAGTGAACCAAGACCCACAGGAAGAGGCAGACATGGGGAAAGGCATTCTTGACGGAGCACGTGTGCAGCGCCTGTGAGGTGAGAACACAGCTCATTTGAGGAAACCGCAGGACAAAAAGCCTTCACCTTTCCAAAGGAATTATCCTTCACTTTACTCAGCAAAAGCCTGTCTCCTTGCCTTATGCCAAAAGTCATACACATAGGTGCTCAATAAATATTAGATGATCAGATGAATGGTATGTGACCTGCCTTGATTAGGGCAACTCCCTTCTCATAGAATGCTTTTTCTCTCTATGAGTCTGAATTCCATCAAGACCTGGCTAGAGACACACCTCCCTGAAGCTCTTCTTACCCACAGTGACCTTTACTTGCTCTGAATTTTGTCTTTTACCATTCTCAAATTGTTTTCTTTCTAATCTTAACAGGTAAACATCAAGGCCTCAAGGGTAGGGACCCATCCCCTTTTCTGCCACTAAAAATTTTTTTTATTCTGTTTTGTTTTGGTATATCCACATACCCTATAGAGCAGATGTTTACTTTCAATGGAAGGAAGGAGGGAGGGAAGCCTAAGAGGATAGCTGTCCTCATGGAGTATTTGGCTTAGTACTGACCTCTACACTCGCCCTTTTCCCTCCCATCTATCTATCTATCTATCTATCTATCTATCTATCTATCTATATCTATCATCATCATCTATCTCTTTTAAATCTAAATAACTTCCTGGATTAATAAATGAGATTTTACTCCAATGCTTCAAATTTCAGCAAAGGGTAAATAGCTTACCAGGACTTCACAGTCTGTAACCAAAGGCATTAATTTTCACCTTCTCTTTTCTAGAACAAATGAGATACTGTAATACTGTAATTCCTTCTGATGCAGTGTAGCAAGTCAGATGCTAAAATAGCACCAGCTGCTTTTCATACACAAACACCACTGTTATCTCTACCTTAATATTTCTACATCTTGAAGAATCTCTCAATCCTTCCTCTTCTTTAAATCCCCATCCCTGTCCTCTGGTCTGCTCTAATCTGCCATCTCTTGCAAACACTTCCAATTTGTCTTCCTTCACCTACTCTTGCCCTTCCTAGTACATTCTACTAAAGACAGCCAGGGAGAGCCATGCTGTTCATGGCATTTTCCTAAAATCCCCTGGTTTGCTGCCTTTGCAGATAGCATAATGACCAGCACCCACAAGACTTGGCATAGTTGGGGGCCAAACCACTTTGCCAGCTTCATTGACCAAGTTCTGTCATTCTTATGGTTCTAGTGGGCTCCAGCCATAAGGACCTTTCTTTAACGGCTCACACATACATTGCTTCTTCTAGCTCCAGGATTTCTGTCCATGCTCTCCCTCCTCAGCTTGAGCTATTTATTTCCTAAGGAAGCCAGCCTTGATCCACACAAGACAACACAATGTGCCCCCTTCCATTATATACACATGCTCAGGACCATATGCTTTTACTTCACAGCACTTGTTACATTTACAGTTATGTATTTGTTCATATAATTACTTGTATAGCACCTTGTGTTCCCAACCAGTCTAAAAATTATAAAGACAAGAACTCTGTTTTGCTCTTTTGTACCTAAATAGTACCTGGCATATAGTAGGCATTTAATAAATACTTGACAAATGAATGCCATCTGCAGATGTTAATAAGATAGATGTCTCTTTTTTTTTCCTTCCTTCCTTCCTTCCTTCCTTCCTTCCTTCCTTCCTTCCTTCCTTCCTTCCTTCCTTCTCTCTCCTCTTTCTTTCTTCCTTCCTTCTTTGTTTCTTTCTTTCTGTCTAGCAAAGCCAAAAATCCAATGATTTGAATTCTAGGGAAAGGGGAAATTAGGTTGGGAATTCCTCTTCAGATAAAAGATGACAAATTGGATTTATCCATATCCTTATTTCCTATAAATATACATAAATTGCTGGTACACTAATCACATTTTCCCCCAAACAACCTACAGCAATTCAATAAGCTCTTACCTAAATGATCTGGGCCTGCTCATGGGGTTTTGTTTTGTGAATAACACACTTTATTTTTACCAATGAAGAAATAATCTGGACATTTAAAACTTCCTGCAACTTAGGAGGGGAAATTATTTGGGATAAAAAGCAAGGAAAGACACAATATTTTAGTTTGTAAAATTGGTTTATTTACAATTTGGTGTTTTAAAATCGTATTTGGAATTTTAATTTTTATATATTTGCCTGGCAGGCATTCTGTGTTTTATTCAGTATGGAGGCAAAGAATAGGAAACCTGAGTTAAGTTTGAATTTAAGAGGTTGACCTGCTGCTACAGTCAGTAAAATTTAACTTTTAACCCCTGAGAATTAGCAAAGAGTCAAAAATATTTGCATACATTCAAATGTAAAAAGCCTATTTTAAGAACAAAAAATAATAAAGCTACTATAATTTATCAACCTCCTCAAATATGGCAATATTAGGAGTCCCTCTTTCAGTTAACCGACAGGTGCATGCACAATGCATGTTAGTTATTAGGTGCACCTAACGAGACTAAGATGCTGTAGTCTTCCATTTGTTGTTGTTTTTTTGTGTAGTTTCTCCTCTTTTAAGAAATATTCCTAGGAACTGATACACAATTTATTCAAGCAATATAAATGCTCACCGCTAGCTCAAATCCTCCCTCCCCTCCCCACTTTCTAAATTTTTGTATGTGATACATAGCTGGGGATTTTTTACTGTCCAAGACCAGAATTCTTTATCAGATTGCAACCTGAGGCCCAAACTGTTTTGCAAAGTCACGTTGGAACAAGTCACTTTAGTTAATTATAGCTTACAGGAATGTATAAGCCTGAACTGATGTTCATACACTGCCATGAGACCTGTGAAGTCTTCTTTGGAAGGAGCAGTGCTCTGGAAACATATCAGAGTTATACCCTGCTGCTCCCTCCTTACATAGATGACTACCTAATACTCCTAAAATGTCAGCTTTCTTTGGAGGAATAAATATAAATTCATTAGTCTGCTCATTACACTTCCTTGAGAAGCAAAGGAATGGCAATTATGCCCTCCCCAATATATAGGAAATGTAGCACAGATAGTAAGGACGTGACCACAGCAAAACAGTAGGTCAAAGTCAAACCAAATGAAACCAAAGCTTTTGCAGTAAGATGGGAGTTTTCTTATGTATGTGCAACACAGTGGCAGTCATTTTTCATTCTGGACGGTGGTAAGCATCACTAATGACAAGTGTTTATTTGCCTAATGACTAAAACAAAGCAAAAACCACAGTGTAATCCAAACTTCTTAAAGACAACAATGAAACAAAGTCACAAGTACCCTTTCTTCAAATGTCTCTTAATGCTCTTTCCAAAACAGAAAATAAATTATTTTCCCTTTCTCTGAAACACCAATACCAAGCCAACTAAGAACACCCTGGAGTGCTAGTTTGAAGGCAACTTTGAAGTTCCAGAAATAGTTAATTGCATAGGTGTTGATCCCCAAACCAAAACGATTACAGAAATTCAAACAATATGGTATTAATCAATTTAAGAAAGAGCTTTGGAAAGATCTGATAAAAGAGAATAAGTGGGAACTATAATCTTCTCTGAGTACCTCAGATCTGGACATTCTATTTTAAGTTTAAATTGCTGCTTCAGCATCCAACTTTCAATTTTATATGTAATGGACATCTCAGGTTTTTCTTTTTTTTTTTCCCTAAATATATTGGGTTTCTTGGTTAGTTGGTCAGTGGGTATTTTTTCACTGGGTAAAAACTCTGATTAGCAAGAGAAGCAGTAATAGGGAATCATGGCATAGGATATGATAAGACCAAGTCTGGGTTTGGGAAAACCTAGGGTATTCCTTGTTTCAGCAAATCCCATTTCTGCTGCAGGAAGCCACACTAAGTTTTTCGGCTGTTGGTGACAGGAGGGGTGTAAATAAAAATGTGAGGTAGTTCTTTCCACAAGAGGTAAATATCTGTCTACATAATATCCCCACAATGTCTGACAAATTACTAGAGCATCTGCTTGCTGTCATCTGTAAGCAAACTCTTCACTTGGTAGTAACTGAACTTGACACATCACGAGCTAGTTGCAGTTTACAGGCCCTATTTTCTGATCCAGACATGGGAAAAAGAGACATTAAACTCCCCCCCACCCAAAAAAAGAGCCATGAACCATAGAGACCACCAAGTACAAGAATTGCTAAGGCATAAGCTATAAGAAGCATATAAGGAAGCCGGTGAGAGCACATAAGGAGTAATTTGCCAGAACTTGGGCACAGAAAAGGATAGCCTGGTGGGGGATAATTTATAGGATCTGCTTCCACAGCTGGTCACCTCGAAGGTTAAAAAAAAAGAAAAAAAAAAGATTTGAAGTTCTAGCAGGATATAGAACACAGCCACAGAGTCCATTTAAAGAACAATTAACACAGAACTGTTACAGGTTGAAGAGTAGGATATCCTAAGAAAAGCAAGAGTTGCCTGCTAAAACTTTAGTCTTTCTTACTTAGAATTTGCACATTTACGCTGAATTAAAAAAAAAAAAAGTCAATTGTAGCTGACAATGTTTGCCTTCTAAACTCTCTCCAGGCTACCAGACCAAGAATACCACCGGAAATAGATCAGGAGTTAAATTATAGTTAGAAAAGGGGAGAAAATTAAGGTAGGACATTAAATTTTTATTCTGAAATTATCTCTGGCCACGACAATAAAATGTTAACAAATATTCACTGAACAGTCTTACTCCTGTCTTCAGCTGTACAATACATACAGTATCATAGAACTGGCCACTAGGATTAAAATCCACCAGAACATATTTCATGTTAAGTGGCGACAGCAGCATCTCACAGAAATGTTTACATACATATATACACAGTCCACATTCAACCATTTTCACATATTTTCAGTACACACAGTTGCAGCATATTACAGTCACGTGTCTAAGTTGTTGCTCGATAAAAACCCAAGCCACTGCCTAGACATAACTGTAGCAGTTGAGCTGAGTATAATTACAATTAATTTTATCTATGTCCATAGCAGAGAGATAGATGTACAAGCCCCTAAGAAACAGAGTTGACAAATACTTTTTTTTTTTTAATGCTACCACAGCATTATGTTGGGCGATATTAAAACCTTTACCAACCAAATCAGTTTTTTTTTTAAAAAAGTCTTCTGCTTACCAGAAATACTCTTGATGAAAAAAATTACAAAAATGAATGCTCTCTTTTAAAATAATTCACACTTTTAAGATTCCAATATGGCCCAATGCTACTGATGCCTGAAGTGTTGCCTAACCTCCCGATGGAGTCCTTTAACACGACTCCAAACCACCCATTAAGTTTAAAAGTGGCTTAAGTGCCTTGCACCCAAATTGTAAAAATCCCTGGCCATCCGTACTAGAGCCAGGCACATAGAAAAGGAATGCACTTTGGTTCATACCAAATGCCCTGGGATTAATCACACTATAAAATTAAATGGTTTGAGGTAAATTTTTACAAATACAGTTGATTTTTGTCTAGTGTTAGCATAACAAAAAATATCATTTAAAAAATCAGTCTGATGATAAGATACAACAAAGATCGTCTTTAACCCCTTAAATATAGGAATTTCCGGTGTAACTAACCAGTGGTTACCTTTTTCAAAGCCTGATGATGATTTACGCCTTGTGGTTTCTATTAAGGCCTGTAAGTCACTAGATATTTAAGACAGATGTATCTTTGCAGAGGTGGGTTCCATCCTTACTGCCTGCTATTCAAAGAGTTAAAGAGGCCAAAAAATGCATGCCCTACAACATGGCATTCAGAACAAAAGGCACATTGTTAATTAACACTGAGGGCACAATTTCTCCTCTCCTGTCGATCTGCACTGTCCTGCAGCACGGTGCTGTTCCACTGCTGGAGCAACGCACTCAAGTGGTCATGTGCGCTGTGGAGGTGCAAGAAACGGAGCCAGATGAGACTGCAACCAAAGACAAGACACTGTGCTATTCTGAAATCTGAAAACAGCTCAGACATCCCTAGACAATGGTAACCTGTGAGACCAAGGACTGTTTCCAAGCCAACTCCTAGTAGCCTATTAGAGCCCTTCATTTATTTAAGATCACAGAGATGCAACTTTTTTTTTTTTTGGACATTATAATTAAGCTGGATTTTTTTTTTTTTTAAAGCAGCCCTATCACTAAACACTGAACATGGTGGCTCTTGTGAATGAAGTAAATTTCACTGTATTTCGGGGGTGGGGGTGCATAGCGCTGCACATCATAGTTTGGCTTAAAAGTTTCCGGTTACATTTGTGAATATAGTCACAAATGCACTATTGGCATCTTAAGAACCAGTTTTATGTGGTGGGGGAAAGACAAGCAGTATTAGTCCACTTATAAATTTTCACATGTATTTTAAAGGGAAATTTCTATTAATGGCAGGCTCAGGTTCATATAAACCTAAATGTGAAAATGAGGATGGATATGGAGGAGGAGCATCGCAAGGGAAAAACAGCCTTTATGGGTTTATTTTAATGACCTAAAGAAGCTAACCATCATTCAGAGGCTTATGGTTTTACAAAGCCACCATACTGAGTCTTCTACTTCTTATGCCTTCAAGTCACAATTTTAATAATAAATACACAATCTTTAAATTCTATAAGCCACTGATTGGGGTATCGTCACATGAGCATCATTTTAAAAAGCAAGTTACTAACATTATTGCACTTCCACAGATTACACAGAAATGTGTACAATATGCTAAAGAATTTGACTAGGGGAAAGAAGCTATAATTTCTAAATACAGAAGTACAAATTAATTTATCAGTGACACCCTTAAATAGTAAAGCAAATATCAACATCACTATCTTACTAATAAGCTAATCTTATTACTGTTTTTTGGCAAATATCTGTAATAGTTCCTGAGCATTTTTCTCCACCAACTGACAAAGCCTCAAGATAAGTGTTTTGTTCCAAAAACTACTTTTTTTTTCTTTTCTTCTTTAAAGTAAGAGAAACCGTAGGACTAATGTTAAAAGAACTTAACCGGAAACTTTCTTGGCCTCGCTGGGGACCATGCTTTAAGTACTTGTAAATCAATTTACAGGCAATACAATAGTATCTGTGCATATAAAAGAGTATTTATCCTAATTTATACTACCCAAAAGCTATTATCCAAACAGGCAAAATCTTTCTATATTAAATTGCACATACTAAAAAAATTTCTTCCACGTGCCTTGAAATTGATATCACTGCTCATACATTAGTGATAAAATACTGAATTTTTCACTTTGAAAATAATTATTATTCAGAGACGAAAATATTCTTTTACCTAACTCTCAGTTACTTTTCCAGGTAAAGTGTCATTCCCACAAAAACAATCAGTGCAATCCAAAAGAAAGTAAAACAGAAGAATGCAATTTGTGATTTTTCTAATGATGCAAGAAAGTCAAACCATTTAACTTGAGATTGAACTTTTCCTCCTTTACATTGGTTGTTAAAACGGGTCTCCTTGAACAGTCACAATGACTTCTGTTCAGCAAGAGGATTTTCAGCCTTCTTTCTTTTTAAAGAAAGAGTTGATGCTTTCCCAGGCTAAGAGAACCTTACAGTGACACCTGCAAAGTGTGAACTCACTTTAATTTGCTAGACCTTTGGAACTGTGGAAATCCCCACCTTAAGTAGCCAGGCTGCTGTTCTTTTTTAAACTGGGATATGAAACAATGGTCAAAAATCACAGCTGAAATGTCTCTCTTCTGTATTAACAGTCTGGGATATATATTTGAAGGGGGGAAAAAACACCTAAATGCAAGCAACAGATGTGTGGTAAAAGAGAGGAGAAAACAAAGAGGAGAAACAGTTCATGGAATACATTTCTATATTTAGGTGCAAAACCAAGTCCGTGATCTGAGGCTTCTTTACAAAACAGCTTGCTGATCGTATTAGAGAATGTGAAGGAACACACACGTTTCCATTTATTCACCCAGGTGTGCTTGGCCAGCTTTTAGAAAGTCAGAGTGCTAAGTGGGCATTTGAACTTGGGGATGTCGTGTCTGTTTGACCACTGGTTTAGGGAAAAAAAAAGTCTCTACCGTGCAGTTCTCTTTAGAGCGTCAGTGTTGTCCTGACTGTTCTCCTCCCGCCCTCACTACCACCCACGTAACTTAGGGGAAACAGAGGCAGGACATGCTACGCCTGTGTGTGAACCTGGAGCATCGGTGGGGCTGGGGGGGGGGGAGGGGACCTTCGGGAGCAATCACCTCGGGGGAGGGGGGGAATATAATATGAACCATAAAAACAGTGAATGTCTTTGACACCAATCTGTAAATGCGCAGCAGTCACGAAGTAATCAATGGCCTGCCACTGATGTTTATTACTCTGCCACACTAGATACAGTAAGGCTCATCATACTTTTAGAACACAAAAACAGTTTCAGGAAGTATAAAAACTTAAAGCATTGTCCCCATGTATTTTATAAAAACAAAATGAACAACTTTCTTACATTAAAATAAGTGCTGAAAAGATACAAATGAGTTGAGTTATTGAGCAAATAAAAACAGGTCTGAGCTACTCCTTTTCAACCCAGTAAGGCTCAGCAACGTCGTATCTTTCAGATTACCAGCATCAGGGGACTCAGCTCAGCTGACAAGTTTTGGCAACACTGTCCTCTGCTGAATATTCCCATTGGCATCTGTCATCTGTGCCAAATTAGTCCTCAGTTTGGAAGCTGAGCTGGAAGGTGGAGGTAACTTGGAAATGGATGTGATAGCACCAGTGCTCTCGGTTATCCTTTTCACGGACGTCTTCTCCCCCGTCGGAGGCTTTGGCAGCCGCCTCCGCAGCCAGGGATGCCGTAAAGCCTGGCCAGGGGTCATGCGAACCGCAGGATCCCATTCTAAACACTGTTTTAAGAAGTCCAGGAAAAGGGGATCGTCACACCCCTTCAGTGCATTCCCCCACTCCCGGCTCTCTGGTGGGCCCCTCAGTTTCCCCCTCCGGGAACGGCCTCCGTTGAGAACCACAGAGCCGTCTGAGAGTGTCGTGACTGTGCAGTAACGGGGATAACCCTTGGAGCTCACAAAATTTTTGGCTCGTTTGGACGCATCCAGCAGTTTCTGGGAGGGCATGCCCAATAGTTCAATCATACAAGCCAGCTGGTCCCCTTCGTCTTCCCCAGGCAAGAGCGGGTAACCAGTCAGGAGCTCGGCTAAAATGCAACCCAGGCTCCACATATCGATGGGCATGCCGTACCTGGCGCCCAGGATCACTTCCGGAGCCCGGTAGAAACGGGACTGAATGTACGTGTAGACGCGCTGATGCTCGTAACAACTGGAACCAAAATCGATCACTTTAATACCACTTCTACCCTGCTGCTTTAGTAAAATGTTCTCGGGCTTAAGGTCACAGTGAATTATTCTGTTCTTGTGCAAAGCATCCAAGCACTGCAGAATGGAGTGGGCAAACTTGCGAACCAAAGGCAGGCTGAAGCCCTGGAACTTATTCTTCTTGATGAGCTCGTAGAGGTTCATGCTCAGCAGCTCGAACGTCATGCAGATGTGGTTCCGGAAGGTGAAGTTCTCCAGCATGTGGATGACGTTCATGGTGTTATCCTTGTCCTGCTTCCGCAGGTGCTCCAGGATCCGGATCTCCTCTGCTGCCTGCCGGTGGAACCGCTTCTCATTCCGCACCATCTTCAGGGCCACGTGCTGGTGGACTTTGTGGTCGTAGGCCTTGACCACCTGCCCAAAGCTGCCCTTCCCAATGACCTTGAGGACCTCGTACCTGTAAGCCACGTGATCGTGGGGCACCTGCACGTAGGATCCCTGGTCATCGTCGTAACCCCCGTTGTTGGGCCCGCCTGTCATGCCCTGGCGCTTCTTTGCATTTGGACCCAAGAAATATATTTCAGGGTAGCTGAAAATCTCGTGGTGTTCAAAGGTGGTTAGTTTTTGCATGTATTGCTTCATTGCTTGTTCGGGTGTCATGGGGGTGGCTTTCACCTTCCCCATGCCTTCCATAGACTTCAGAGACGTGGAGCTCCCCTGCCGTCTGTGGATGCTCTCCAGCTGCCGCTCGGGCACCACTGGCAATCCCGCTTTACCCACTGTTGTAAGCCCATTTGGTTGTGTCGTGAGCACTGTCCGCTTGTTACTATTATCCTCAAACAGCTGCTGAACCTGGATCTGTCCGTGGCTGTGGCTGCCGACGTGTAAGTGATCATTCATTGTGTGCTTACTGCCGCCAAGCTGGAATTCAGAAAGCAAATGTGAATAGGATGGAAGAGGTGTGTCTGTTCACATGGGCTATTTTATGGGTCAGCCCCCGCCCCACCTTTACGAAATCCGGTTTGTTTGAATCTCCAGTCAGAGTCAGTTGCTCTAAATGGAAAGAGCTGTACACCCAGGAGGGACCTCACGAACACCCTGATGGGGAGAGTGGACAGGACGCCGACAACCTCTGATAAAGGAAAAAGATTACACGACTTGGTAAGGCTACGAAACTTGGGATCCAGAAAAAAAAAAGACCCCACGAGCGCTTACACCTAACAGACAAGCAGTTTGCTGTACATATCCAGGATCTTCCGAGCAGTTCCCTACGGAGACGGAGAGCGTCTCTGTGCCTTGTTCACTAGCCTCTACCTAAGATTCAGCACAGGGCCTGGCACAGCACAGGTGTTCCACTCAACCCACAAAGCACCCAGTGAAACAGGATGCAGAGAGCATGAACAGGTAGTCCGTGTGCTGGCTCCCCCTCCTCCGGAATATAACCTCCTTCCCACCGCAGTTAGTAGCTTCTTCGTTACCCTGAGGGCAGGGACCACGTCTGTCTTGTTCACTACCCTTCCTCCAACGTCTAGCTAGCTCTGTGTGGAAACACTAGCATCTTCATTCTCCTCGGTCTCCTCTACTCCTTGGAAAACTGACCACACCTAGGAGAGAATGTATGAACCGCTGGCAAAAAAAAAAAAAAAAGTCTGCACTTTCAGGCTTGAAAGATTCCCATGTAGATACGCACTGTAGCATCCTGTAAATCCCTAATCTATTTTTAAAAATGTCTGGGCTTCATTGACTGTGATGACCATTTAAGGCCATTCGGCGCAACAAACCAACCACCACACAGTTTGGGGCCTTCCTTTGGTCAATGGCTCAGCTCTCTCCACAGTGTATTTCTGTGGGCTGCTGGGATACCCGGCTTTCCAACAAGGAACACAAAGTAGCGACTTCTATTTCAGGCACACATGCCATCCCTGAACATTCCTGTCTAAACAAAACTGATGGTGCAAGCCAAGGGGCCCCCGGCCTTCCACTGAGAATCTGCTGGGGATTTCTTTCAAGTATTATTATTGCAAAGATGTGAGGGAGGGGCGAGCACTGGCAGCCAGGATCCCCTCTCAGTTCCGAATCCTCGCCAGCCTCAGACAACCACCCCACAAGTCTTAATGCATCCTGCTGGGTGATTTTTATATAAAACCTTAACGATCAATTCCTCACCTCCAGCCCATCTTATCTGCTCAACGAGTTATCAGCTAAGGTCTAGCCACGCAAGTGGTAGCATCCCTGCCCTTGAGAAGCTTACAACCGATTAGCTGAAATCTTTGGCCGTCACTATTTTTTCTCTTCTCCCTTTCTGAAGCCTACCTTTGGGGCTCTATGTCCTACCCAAGGAGTAGAAGCAGTTTGTATGTGTAAATCCAGCAACTCGGGAAGTGGTGTGGAATCACCTCGATTCCAAAATGAAATTTCTCAGTAGCAGACCAAGACCTTTGAATTTTCTTTAACTGACACGCCGCCCGCACAGTGATTATTTGAGGAGTGAGTTTTCTCTCTGCTTGCTTCTAAAAACAAAGCAGAAGACAGTACAGTCCCTGGGCTCGTCTGAAGTGTGATTTCATAGATAGAGGGATTTTACTTCTCAGACTTCTAGTCAAACCCTTTTATTAAAGTCACAGATGATAATGATGCTAAGTGAACTTGTGTCAGGGCAGCTGGACAGGTTATTTTATCCCCATTCTAAGGCAAAAGCAGAACAATCTATAAAAATGGAATCAGGAAGTCCATGAGTATATATATAAAAGTAGTACAGGCTTGTCCACTGCTTTTGTTCCCAAGCCTGCTCTCTGCACCCCGCCCTCCCCACTGTGGTCTTTCAAGCACCAGGAAATACAAGGACCTGAAATTCGAAATACAGCCCACGTAGAGAACCATTCTCTTCGGGGTGGAAAGAAGTGATTCAGAAGAAAAACCTACATTACCAGTATGCACAGTACAAAAAGCAGGAGGCTTCACTAGGGACAAGATTAACCTCGGGGCTTTAGCAACTCCTAAAAAGACAGCAAAGCAAAACTTTCTGAGCATCTGAAATTCACTCCAGTTTCAGCAACGGCAATCTTCATGTTGTGCACAATTTAAAATATAACACACAAGTTTATCGACCAACACCGAAGAGAGTTTGACAATTAAGTGGATCACCTCCCGTCTCTCCAACTGCCTCCTCTGGGTCTTCTCAGCGGTCTCAAGGTCTCAACTATTAGTAGGTGAACTAACCTACCCTTGGGTGGCTTCAGAGGTTCCCCAGGGTTCAATCCTCAACTCTCCTGGCTTCTCGCCTCCCGTAATTCTCCCCGGCCAATTCTGACCACAGCCGGGGCTTCAGCAACCACCCAAGGCCTGGTATCTGCTGCATCTGCCACCTGCAGCTGGGGCCCGCCCGACCTAGGCTGAGTCGGGGACTCTCGTGACCAACTATAGACCCCTGGCCTTTCCCACAAGCAATTCAAACTGAACTCCTGATCTTCCTACCACAAGCATTTCCTCCTCCCATACCCTCAATTTCTGAGAAACAAGAGGCTTCACCTCCACGTTATCACTCAAGCTTTACATCTGGAAATCCTTCTCAACGTCTTCCTCACCTCCTGAGTCCCCGCTAGGCCCTGTCCTCTCTCTCCATCCTACTTCCGCTCCACTGACCGAGCCTCACAGCCCACTCCTGTTGGGCTAGAATTTCCTTCTCGGGCTAGAATTCCTCAAATCTCTTCTCTTCAAAGTACTTCTAGAATGGTCATCGAGAAGTGTCAGTCTGACGATGACCTCACTTCCGCTCAAGGCCTACAGCTATACCCCATTTCCATAGACAGTAGAAGAATTTAGAGGCCAGGACACCAGGTCCTAAAGTGTAGCACATCAATGACCTGAGGCCTTCCTTACAATGTCATCTACGACTGCTACAATTCTCTGAGAGTAACAAAGCTGGGTTCCCCAAGACCTGGGGCAACACCATGCTCCTTTACGCGCCTCTGCTTTTTTTAAGTAACCGTTACAAGTCGAGGCATTTTCCGTTAGACACACAGGTAATGAATCCCAGCTCTATCACTTACTAAACGTGTGACCTTGGGCAACTTACTTAATCTCTCTGAACCTCAGTATGCTTGGCTGTCAAAAGAAGGCAACAGAGTTTCTCATGAGGACTATTTGGGTTCAGTAAGGCAAAATGTATAAAGTGTTTAGTAAAGAAGAGCTATTATTATCCTTTCCAAAAGCTGCTGGGAATCTCCTCCCGAACCACCACGTCTACACAGTAAACTCCTTCTCAGCCTTCGATGTCCAGTTCAACTCTCATCTCTTCCATGAAACACAGGAAAGGCCCCTTTCCTCCCTTGTGCTTGTAGCCCACCAACCAAGTGTTAACATCTACTTCATCTTCCCCTAAGTGCTGTAACACCTGAGGTACCCACCTGGCTATGAGCAATACCAGGGCAGGGTCACCTCTTAATCTTTGTAAGTCCCTATTAACACAAACCCAAACATGCAGTAAGCACTCAGTAACTATCTGCGGAACGGAAGAACAGGTGTCAATAAATCCTTGCTAACTGATATCTCTCTGAGTTCTGCTTGGGAATTACCTCTGCACCTTCACAAGAAAACACGAACTTAATGCCTAGGGAACTGGGAATCATCCCCAGTGATCCAAGTCGCAAGATGGTAGGTTTGCAGTGCATCAGCAGAGACTTTAAAGGTAAATGAGAGCTAGTAAAAAAGTACCGGGAGCAGAGGCATCAACTAAACCCCCGAAAGCCATGGATGGCATCTTAAAAACTCTCCAGATGTAAAGGGGATTCAGTTGAGAGGCTTTAGTAAGGAAGGCCTTTGATCTCAAGCACTGCAGACTCCTAAAATCACAACGAAATTCTGAAGCACAATTAACTGATGATAAAAAAAAAAGGGGGGGAGGGGGCAGCTCTAGAAGAGCCACCCTATTTCCAGAATACATTTGCCAGGCCTACATAACGGTAAGGATATTAAAAACCTCTTGGAGTCTGACAACCTGGCTTATTCCTATTTGCCACTGCCTACCTAGCATGGCTGTCACATTTAAAAATATACACAGAACGAAGGCAATTGTTAGAAATGTACAACCTATGGGTTCAAACAGGCCTACAAAAGCCTTCTCTGACCATGAAATCGTTTAGTATTAAAAATTATAGGAGGACAGTGGTCTAACCAGTTGGGTAGTTTAAATCTCTTCCAATAAGAAAGTGGAAAATAGCAGATACTTCATACTGTGCTAACATTTTGGAGCATTTAAAAACTTCCCTGGGGATCCCTGGGTGGCGCAGTGGTTTGGCGCCTGCCTTTGGCCCGGGGCGCGATCCTGGAGACCCGGGATAGAGTCCCACGTCGGGCTCCCGGTGCATGGAGCCTGCTTCTCCCTCTGCCTGTGTCTCTGCCTCTCTCTCTCTCTCTCTCACTGTGTGCCTATCATAAATAAATAAAAATTTTAAAAAATATATTTAAAAACTTCCCTGAAGTCATCTTAGAAATGTGGTATAGTGTTATGGGAACAGACCTGACTGTAAAAAGGCTGGATTTTAGCTGCTCCTCAAACAGTCTGTGTGACCCTCAGTCAAATATCTACTTTTTCTTCAAAGTATTACTATTTTAAAAATGAGAATACTCATTCTTTCTTAATCCCAATTATTTTATAAAGGTAAAATGGTAACCGGAGACTGCTTTAGTCATCAGAACAGTTATGAAAGTGAGATAATACTAACACTTGGGAATTTTAAAAAAAAGTATATTATTATCTCACAATATCAAAAGAAAAAAACTATAGGAATCAAGACGGTTACTGGGTACACTCTTAGGACAAACAGAAATAAACAAAATGACTAAGTATACAATAATATATCCATGGAGACAGGGAACAAAAGGGCAATGGACGAAATAAATTCCAAAGTTCATAATCTTTATAAGCACATATTTACCCACCTACTCTATCATGACCAGGGAAAATATGGGCAAGCTTCTGTGATAAGATCCCTTTTCTTATCCTCAATACCCATCCCTCCCTCCCATTCTAAAACTGCTCTTCCCAGATATGATTGCTGTGGAATTAAAAAAAAAAAAAACCCTATAAAACACCTGAAAGACGTATGGACGTACGGATCTGCAAAGGTTCCTGCATTTATAACGAAACGAACACAACTTCCTAGGCTTAGCGGTGTCAAGCAAGATGTTGAAGGTAGGCTCAGGAGGGCCTGGATACGAAGTGGCTGGGGAGTCTTGACCAAACCAGTTAACCTGTCCGACTGCTACCTCATCTGTAAAATGAAGGAGTAGAACCAGATAAACACTGTGGTCTTTTTAAACTTTCCTGTTCTAGGAAATCTGCAATGTCGTACAAATCAAAGCTAAACCACAATAGAAAACGAACCTCACACTTTCAAAACCAAGCCTCCGATGACCAAAAGCATACTGGAATTTTAACTCTAAGCTCAAGACAGGTAAACCACTCCGATACCGCAGCGAAATACAAGCATCCATTCCTGGGAGTCCTGAGAAGGCCCCTCACATCTGTTCATTTCTGGGCCACCTCAAGCTGTTGCTCCAGTGCACACCTCCTGTTTTCTCTAATTTCATTACATATTTCTACGGGAAAAGGCTCTGATCTAGTAAAGCCCACTTTTGGAATCCAGGTGCAAACCAAGTACTTCTTCCCAGGTCACACCAAGTCACGTGATTATATCCACACACGGGGATGGGGGTGGGGGTGTGGAAGCGGATGCTACGTTTCCAAATTGTCAGATGATTCCAAACCAAGCCAGAAACTCCTAAAAACCAATGGCAATTCCTCAACTAAAACGTCACTGTAACAGGAATATTCAGCCCTAACATATGGAATCCACCAGCCCACCGACAGATTCTCTTCCACCATCAACACGTAACACAGATCAGTTAACTTCTGTGTAGTGAATTCTTAGCCCCTGGTCACGTGGGGGAGAGAAGAGAGGAAGGGAGAGGGAATGACTAACAACAAAATGTTGTGCACATGGGTCCAGGTCTAAGGGGGGGGGGGGGGATACTGCACTGGGGCCATCCTCTCACAAACTGTCTAATAAAGAAGTTTCCACGTAACCCCTGACCCTGAGAGATGCTTCTCTGTAGACCAGAAATGGCCTTTTCTACAAGAATTCAACTTGCACTAGGCAAAGCCATATTCCCACCAAGCATCCCTTACACAGAACCACCTTAGGCCGTTCTTCTGGAGGATCCAGTTGCAAGTAGGACGTGGGGAAGCACGGCCTCGTCCCCAAGTGCGCACCTCCTCTAAGGGGCAGTCACCTTCCAAGGGCGATCTCTGCGAGCTGAGAAGAGGTACATGCCGAGGAGGTCAAATCCAGCCGGCCAATCCGCAGCCACAGGTCCCACGGTGGGTGGTGGGCTCTCCACCCACCCGGGGACCGCAGCACCTGCCAGGTAGGTGCCCTTCCCTTCTCGCTTCCAAAGCAAAGGCGGCTCTTTCCTTTTGAATGATATCCAAGCGGGAGAATCCTACAGGGGTGGCTGGTTGTTTTGACTGCTGCTGTGGCTCTTATTTTTGTTCACGTTAATTACAATTTCTGCTGTGCTCAAACCTGTAGCACTCATAAAACATGCTTCCACACGCGGGGGACAATTGGCGGTGCTCCCTGCTGGCTGGAGCCGGGCCTGGGAGGCTCTTTGGGGGATCGATTTTCCGGGCAGGTCGGCCTGACTGTCCCCTAACACATATCTGTTCTATAAATACCCACTACCCAACGTGGGGGGAGGGGGTGGCGGCTGGGGGATGTTTATCCGGTCAGGGAAAGGAGCTCTGGGAAGCGAGGAGGGGGAAAAGAAGGAAAGCAGCGCGGAGGAAGTTCCGAGGAAGAGGAGCGCAGGGGTGGGCGGGCTCCGGAGGGGAAGCGAGGGGCCCAGGCCACGAATCTCCCTTTGTGGCTGCAGCCCTGCGCTCGCCCGGGGTGCACGGGGCGGCGTCCGAGAGGCCAGGAGCCAGGGCCGTGGGGACCCTCGCGTCCCGGCGCCAGAGCCGCACAGCCCCGAGCCTGGGCCCGCGCCCCTCCCCGCCCCCCCGGCCTCCCGGGGGCTGGGTCTCACCGTGTGCGCCGCGGCCGCAGCGTTGCTGGCCCGGAGAGGCGGCAGGGCGATCGGGGAGGGCGGGCCGGTCCCCACTCCGCTCCGGGGGGCCCCCGCACCGAGCCCCGGGGAGGCCTGCAGCTGTCGCACGGCGCTGTCCCCTCCTCGGCCTGGGAGCCACGCGCGGGAGGAGACAAAAGAGGGTCAGGGGAGGGAGAGCCACCGGACCCCGACGCCCCGCCCCACCCCTCGGGCGGCGGACCCCGCTCTCCCCCGGGAGGGGGCCGGACGGCGCAGCGGGCGAAGCGGGAGGACGGGGGCGCCCGGGCCCCGGGCGGGGTGCGGGCAGCTGCAAAGTTCGGGCGGGCGCCGGCGCGGGAGTTCGCGACCCCGCGGCGCGGCCGGGCCGGGCGGGCGGGGAAGGGGCTCGCACCGCCGGCGGGGGCGCGGGGGCGCGGGGCGCGGGGGCGCGGGGGGTGCAGGGCCCCCTCGGAGGCGCCCCGGGCCCGCGCGCAACAATGAGCGGGGCCGCGGCGAGGGCGCGCCGTCCTCCCGGGCCCCGCCGCCGCGCGCACTTCGCTCGAGGTCCCGCGGGCGCCCCGCCACGAGGGCAGGACCCGGGCGCGCGGGGGCCGCGGGGGCCGCGGGGGCGGGGGGCGGCCCGGCCCTGCTTACCGGTCGGGTAGGCGGCGGGAGCGGCGGCCGAAGGTTTCCTGGTTAACATGGCCGCTGGAGCAGAAAATGCATTTCAGGGCCGCCGCCGCCGCCGCCGCCGCCCGTCCTGCCGCTGCTCCTCCCGGCCGCCCCTCCGCGGCTCTCCGGCGCCTCCTCGCCGCCTCGCGTCCGCTACAGCCGGCCCCGCGCAGCCCGCTGCATCCCCGCCGCCCGGGCCCGCCGCCGCGAGCGCCCCGCTCTCCTCCTCGCCGCCGCCGCCGCCGTCCTCCTCTTCCTCGGGCGGCCGCAGCACCCCCCGGCCCGTGCACATGCCTCGCCCTCCCCTGCGCGCCGCGGGCCTCCCCGAGTCCCTCACATGGGGCGCGGGGGAGCGGGCTGCGCCGCCTGCACCGACTCGCTCGGGAGCCTCCCCCGGGCCCGCGCGCGCGCCCCCGCGCACACTCGCACTGGCGCCCGCGCGCCGCCCGGCCCGGGAGGACGGCCCCGCCCCCGCCCCGCCGCAGGCCCCGCCCCCGCCCCGCGGCCGCCGCAGGCCCCGCCCCCCTGCTGCAGGCCCCGCCCCATGCAGGGCCCGGCCCCGCCGCCGGCGCAGGCCCCGCCCCCATGTCGCTGCAGGCCCCGCCGGCTCCGCCCCCTCCGCCGCCGCAGGCCCCGCCCCCGCCCCGCTGTCGCTGCAGGCCCCGCCCCCTCCGCCGCAGGCCCCGCCCGCCGCCGCCGCCGCAGGCCCCGCCCCCGGACCCACCCACCCACCCCCACCCCGCCCAGCCCGGCCGCACGCGCTCACGCACACCCCACCCCCACCCGGCCACCCTCCGGAGTCCCTACCCCACCCAGTCATCTGCACGGCCACCCCTCCAGTCCCCGGAAAAGTCTGCAGTCTCCGCTCGGCCGCCGCCTCCCCCGGCGGCCCTCCGCGCGGCTGCCCGGCTCCCCGGCCCGCAGCCCCTGCCGCGCCCCCCTCCTCCTCCCCCTCCTCCCCGCCTCCCTCCCTCCGCCCAAACCGCCGCAGAGCCCCCCCCTTCCGCGGGTGCCCCCCTACACACGGGCACGCCCGGCTCGCTGGGCCCGAGGGCTGCTCGCACACAATACGCGCCCCCAGCCCGCCTTGGTCCCAGGGGCTTAAGCATCCCCCCGGTCCGCACTTGATCTGGGAAATTAACTTGGTGGTGCGAGGGTCACCTCGGCGAGCCAAGCCCGGGGAGCGCGGGCGACGGGGCTGCCTCCGCCTGCACCGCGGGCGCACACGCCCTCCGGGTTCACCGGCACCGAGGGGCCGCCGGCCGGGCCGGGCCGGGCCGGGACGCGAGGCGCAGAGGCGCCGGGGGGTTGCTAGGCAAAAATAAACATCGCAGGCGCCTCCCCTTGGCGTCCCGCGGCCGCCGAGACACACCTGCCCGCCGCCGCCGCCGCCGCCGCCGCCGCCGGGGGGGGGGGGGCACCCTGAGCTCCGCTCGTCCCCGGAGGCCGGGCTCCCGCTCTCCCGGCCTCGCCCACGTGGGCACGGCCCCTGCGGTCCCTGCCCTCTTGCCGTCACGGCCTCTCTCCCTTGCGGGCTGCAGACCTGCGCGCCCGTCCCGCACCTGCGTCCTGTCGAGTGTGTGGAACATCCTCTGCACAAAGGTCACGGGTTTGGGTCACTTCGGGCAAGGAGGAGCAAGCGCGGGGCGATCCCGCGGACCACGGGCCCTCCTCCTCCGGAAGAGGAGCTGCGGGTGTCTGAGGTTCTGGGGGACCTGGGTGCCCTATGCCCTGCCCCGCGTGACCTGCCGTGCCCCTGGCTGCACCCAGCGTGCAGGCCTGAACCAGCGCAGACTCCAGTCAGAAGGGGGCCACCTCCCGCGGAGCCCCGTCGCCCCTACCGTTTGCAGATTGTCATAGCAGCCTCCCAGAGGGAGCACCCTGGGCGGCGTACAAGTGCCCCAAACCCCGGTGTTACGAAGAAAGGCTGTGACCCGGCCTCCGGGGCTCTGCAGAGGCATCAAAGACAGTGGCTTTGGCAGAGGAAGCAAGTGGCGCGGAGGAGAATCTGGCCTGGTGCATGTGCCCGCAAAGACATCCTTTTGGCGCCTTCTCCTAACCAAGTAGAACACGGTGAAATGCTCAATCCGACTAGAGGCCTCTGGAGCAGTGATAACCGGGTCTGGCCCTGGCAAGAAACAGCCCCCTTAGCCTGCCGGCCCATCCAGATCCACCTGGGGAAAGAGCTGGTGTTCAGAATTATCTAAAAGAAAAGGGGCTGCTGAGTGGCAGAGGGGAAGCTGGAACCCATTCCCTGGCTCCCAGTCTAATTGCACTCTGCTTTCCTTTACCTGACCACCTTGGATTGTTAAGAAACTCAAGACTTTTTCCTTCCTTCCTTCCTTCCTTCCTTCCTTCCTTCCTTCCTTCCTTCCTTCCTTCATTTAAAGATTTTATTTATTTATTCACGAGGGACCCAGAGAGAGAGGTCGAGACACAGGCAGAGGGGGACTCAGGCTCCCAGCAGAAAGCCTGGTGAGGGCTTGATCCCAAAATCCCAGGACCACGCCCTGGGCCAAAGGCAGAGGCTCAACCACTGAGCCACCCAGGTGCCCCTCCTTCTTTCCTTTTCAAAACAATTATTTTCATACCGTATTCCTTTTTTTTTTTAATGAATACCCCATGTAACTGATCTTCAAATAAAAAAGTCTCAAGCAAAAAAATCAATTTTAATATAACCTGACACCCCTTTTGAGCTAAATCAAAGTCATTGTTGCTATACTTCGGTAGAAACGAAATATGGCACTGCTTTTTCATGAATAAGGGCAATGCTGGAAGTCATGATTTGTAAAATCCAAATTACCAATATTAATCTATACACTAAACATGAGGAAAAAGAGCACCGACTTTTTTTTTTAAACAGAAGGACACACACACAAAAAATAAAGGACACAAAGAATCATTAACTTTAATCAAAGAAAGAAAAAGAGACATGTTTGGGGAACTTTAACAGTATATTGCTTTATGACATGGCAAGTATAATTTCAATTTTATATTTTTTTTTGTTGTTTTGTCTTAAGGAAAATTTGATATTAGCCTAATCTGGCTATTTTGATTATAAATGGCATACCTCTCAAAATTATATTCTCACTCAAAATGAGTATTTATAATTTCTTGGGTTTCTCTCATTCTGTTAAATATTGAGGACTTCAGTATTTAATTAATTTAATTTAATTTAATATTTAATTTAATTCAGCCTGAATTAGTGTCAAATACATGTCCAAATGCATTCCATGAGCTTTCAAGGAGAACTGAGTACATGCTATGAGTTAGGACCCTCCAACTTTAGTATTTTAATGCATCATTATTAATCCCACTGGCTATTTACCTCTTTATAAAACTCTTTCACAAATATTATCATGTGTAATCCTCAGGATTCAGTCTGACTGGGTTGTATGATGTTACTAGT